GCGGGCAGCATCTGGGGACTCTCTTAGGTTTTCCAGCTACAGCTGGGAATTAAAAGCATTAACATTCCAGGGACCTAATCCTGCCCCATCGAGCATGATCTCGTGTGAGCAAAAATATTTTTAACCATACTTGCATGCCGAAGGGTATTTATTAAACAAGACAAATTCTGTGCCAATAATGACTAAAATATTAATATAACTTACCTGCCCCTTTTGTTTATCTTACTCCCATCCTGTGAGAGCAAGGGTGGTTCCAAGCTGATGGTGGAAAATTTTTCAGAAAGGAGCAAGTGCATTTGCATAACTCTCCCCAGAGTTCAATTATACCAGGTGCTAAAAGCTGAGAAGCATTGGCATGTGATGATAATTCTTGTTACCAAGGTGACAACAGCCGTATTTCATGAACATAAATGAATGGCTTTATGAATAATTGTACTGAAGAAACGCTGCCAGGTGGTGGGAGGGTGGATGGACCTTTCTGGCTTTTGTCAGGCACATGCTTGGGTTCAATGTGCCAAATCAGTTTTTGCAGCATGTGTGACAGTTCCTTTCCTTGCTTCTCCTGTGCCTAAACTTGACCTTCACATGAAACCTCCTGTGTTGCTAAAGTCGTGTGGCCACCAGCTGACTTCTTCCTGAGTTGTTCTGCTGAGCTTTGGAGGAATGGTGTCCACGTGCAGAGCAAGCGTTTTGCCTTTGGCAAAGCACCGTGTTGTGTTTAATAATGATGCTTAGAAATCAGTGACACTTGGAGGGGTGGGAAAAAAGGGAGTTCAGGACAGAGTTAGGCTGTGGCCTTTGGGGGTTTTAGTAGCAACTTCTTAAAATGTTTTTTATTGTTCTTCGAGAAGATGCTTTCCCAGGCACACACTGCACAGTGCCCCCAGGGAAAGGGCATACATGTAGCCAAGAGCCCGAAGTTGCTGCTGCTGTCTGGAAACTGCGCTGAAACTGGACATGCAACAGCACAGCATGCAATAACTCAGCACTGTGGCAGTACTGTGTGTTTCCGTGCAGGGAATTCAAGTTCACAGGGGCTAGAGATGCTGGGTGGGCCTTGGGGGCTCTGCCCAGTCTCACATGAAGTAACCGTTGCTCTAACTTAGGCAAGAAAGGTCTTGCTTGACTGCAAAGGCTCTGTGAGTGTGTGCATGCATCAAACATAATCAGCAGCTCTTCTACAATGTAGATGTGCTTGTTTCCTCCGCTGCTGTTGATGGAAGGCAGTTAGGAACAGGACTGTAACAGCCTGTCTGTAAAAAGCAATTTTTGTTTGTTGTTATCCCCTGTTGCGAGAACTGATTTATTTTCAAATCTTTTCAAACCACTTCATGGGTCTTCCCCCTTTCATGCTTTTTCTAGAAACACTTGGAGGGGAAAGCTTCATTTTCATCTCATGCTGTTTGTCAGAGCACTTATATATACAGGAGCTGCCATTTGTGATAGCAGTGTCCAGTGGAAGTATTTTCTCTTCAGGTCCCCAGGCAACATTTCTCGCTTTCTCAGAGCCTTGATGAACATTAACGGGGTAGAGCATGGCATAGTGAGTTTGCTTTTTTGAATATTTATAGTCCCTGAATGCTAGTACTAAAGAAAATCAACTTATTTGTGGGGAAATATACTTACCTGGTGGCTTTCATGTTCTCTGCCCAATCAAATTTGGCTGAATTTGGTTGATTAGGACTTAAAAGTGCCAGTGATACTTTTTGCCTTCATGATTTGAATGATCCTGTCTTGTTAAAGCGGGTATCATGTCCTGTTCTCCCGTGTCTCTTTGCTCTGGTACCTTCAGTTCCTCGCATAGTTCTTCCAACATCGAGCAGTTACTGCTCTCTGCTTGAGAGCCAGAGATTGAGGAGTGCTTGGGGCTTAACCCTTCTTCTGCACGTAAGGGGATGGTCCTGGCTAGGGCAGGGACCACCTGCTGAGACCATGGGATGGGCAAGCTTTTTATTCATTACTCTGTGAAGGTTTGTGTCCAAGAGTGGTACTGTCACTCACCAGTGATCTGACTAATGGAAAGGGGTGATTTTGTGGACCAGTGTGAAGTGTTTATAAACAAAGACTAACATTTCTCTCCCCTCCCTTCTCTAATCTATGCAGAAGCAGAAAGTAGACATCGTAAAAGTGCTCAAAGATCTCTGGCAGGACTTTCTGCAGTGCTACTCCTCCCAGACCATGCTCTGCTGGTCTGTGTGGTGGGCACTGTCCACCTGTGGCTACTTCCAAGTCATCAACTATGCTCAGGGCCTGTGGGAGATGGTGCTGCCTTCTCAGAGCACAGAGATCTACAATGGTGCTGTGGAGGCAGCCTCGACGCTGCTAGGTAAGCTTCTGGCGTAGCTCCTGCTCTGCTGTGAGAAATGCCCTGTGTCCCTCAAGGTCACCAGAGCCCAATTTGGAAATGCCTTGTGTTTCCCCAAGCATGCCGGAGAGGCAACGCTGGCATTTGGGGTGAGTGTCCCCTGACATGCACAGGTATGGTGCTCAGCATTGAGTTAGCTGCTGCACGCAGCTCTAGTTCTTGTAATCTAGTACGTAGGTGTTTAAGGGAGCCTCCCAAGCCAATCTGCATTCTGAGAGATTTGGCAGAAGGCTCCAGTCATGTGGCTGACCGTCTGTCCTTGGCTGTCGCTATGGCAGTAGGGTTATGCTTGTTTTAACCACTTGAGCTCAGACTAAGGGTGCTATGGGTTTATTGCTTTTTTTCTCTCTGTCAGCAAAGGGAATGGATAAAGGTTTCCTGTACACACGCAGCATGCGGTGAGCCACATTTAGTCATTTCAGCACTGTTAAACAGAAAAGCTATTAAGATGAAAGAAGTTGCTTGACTTGAAAGGGACAGGTAGGTCAGTCAACACAAACATTTGTTTGTTAAGTTGTTTAATACTGTTCCATTACCAGAACCCGGACAATACCTTTTTAATAGAGCTAAAATACCCTCACAGAGGCTTTCTAGGTGCTGCTGCAGTAGGTTCCTTTTCTTTGATGGAGTTATTGTTCCACCATCTGTAGGACATCACCTACTTGGGGGTAGAAGAAACCAAGGTGCACAAACAAGGAAGGTGCAGTACTTTCTTGGGCATGCTGAGCCCCCTCTTGGAGTTCAGTAGGAAGCCGTGGCCGGTTTATAATTCTAAAAGCTGGTCTACTACCTATTGTTAGTTGGGTTTGAAACTGTCAGCAACTTGATTCTGAAGGCTTTGGCTGTTAAATCATCTTTGGTGAGCTAAATCTGCACTTCAATAGGATGCAGTCATACACTGTTCCTCCACTCTAGCTGGATGCTGTGGCTCTTATTTCTTGTTTGGCTTGGCTTCCTCAACCATCCTGCCTTGGTCCCAGGAAGGAGGAGAATGGTATCAAGGGAAAGAAGACCCATAGCATGGCCAAATGTCAGCAGATTAAAAAAAAGGAGGAGTATTCTTCAAACTTTATTATGAACATCTTTTATTTCGAGGTGTGTGAATAATGGATCTATTCGAAGGAAAGGTGGTTGGCACTAAACTCATGTAAAACTAAGTTTTTTAGTTTCTTGTTTTGATTTTTTTTTTCCTCTAGTATCATTTTAATAAATGGTTGAATCGTTCTGGGTAATGTTTTCTGAAAGCAAAATAGCCTCTGTCCCTGAACTGATCAAAAGACAGAGCCAAAAATATCCTTCTGGTTGACACAGATTCATTGCTTGGAACAAGTGAAGTTTAGTGCAGTACTAATTTCTAAAATTTGAAGTGTGTAACAGGACTGGAAGAGACCTATTAAGGCTGAGCATCCAGTTACCCGATTCCTAGGCACTAGTGCAAATGGTCTAACTACTTCTGATTTCCAGTTTGAATTTATTAATAAGCAGTTTATTTATCTCTGACGTCATGCCAAGGTTTCATTTTAGCACAAAATTGTTGCTCTGAGCCAAAGAAGCCAAGTTTTTCTAGCTCTTTGCTAAAGTTAAGTTCTTTGTTCACTTTGTCATCTTACTAGCCTCTCTTTGCACCAAACATAGTTTGAATTGGATTCTTTGTGGAGGTGGATGACTAGAGCTACACTCAGCGTTATTCAGTGAGGCCTCAGGCTTGTAGAAGAACATACTGTTCACTCTTCTCCCTTTACTAGAAATACCTTTTTCTGGTGCATCCCAGATGTGATTTTGCCATTTTCATGTCTCTCAGTCATTCTGTGCTCTGTCATGAGCAATGATTGGCAACCTTTGTGTAAGATGCTGTTGTCATCCCTGCCTGTACCGGTGCTGCCCTGCAGAAGTTGAGCTTGGTGACTCATGTGGCTGTCAGCTTCCTGTCCTGGGAAAGATAAATTCCTTCTAGTGAGATCAACTGACTGTTAGGCTGCATCCCTGCACCTTCTTGGGAATGTGGCAACCCTATCAGGTTGGGTTGTGAAACCACTGGATCAGTGGTAGCTGTCTCATTGCAGGACACAAGATTGTCTGTACTGTCATAATTAGGCGTCAGGCTGATACGGCCTTGACACACTGGGGAGCACAACTTCATGAGTTGCTGTGAGATCCCCAGAGAGTCATCTCTGTTCCCAAATTTCAGAATTGCTGAGACAGTAGAAAGAAGGCTTTAGGAATTAGCTTCTTTTTGCATCTCAGGGTTTTGCTGCTGGGGGAGACAGGCTTACAAGGAGCAAAATGTCAGTTGGATGGTGTCACAGCAGGGACTGGAAAGAAGAATTTAGTGAGGGGAAATAAATTCTTTTCCCTTGGCATAGCTACTTTCTTCACTAGTCCGCAAGATTGATGTGCGGTCTGACATGGTTGTAGGCTTGTACACACAGATGGTACAGAAGGAGTCTTCATGTGCTTGCAGGATTTCTAAGAAGGCCAGCTGAGGGCTACAAAGACCTTAGATGCTGCACTGTAGCACTTCTGTACAGTGGTCAAATGCTGAAAACAATCATGTTTTTCAGAGATCTCCAGTAAACCTCCCTTTGTCAGTATGCTGTTTTTCTAGTTTGCTGTGTACAGCAGCATCGTTATGCTGTTAGCTGCTATTTGGCTTGTTTGCAGAACAAGGCCTACTTCAAATGGGAATTTTCTTTTAATCCAATATGCATTTGGGCTTCTCAGTAGTTAAAACTGTGACAGTGCAGGAAACACACCTTGTCTGCTTGTTGAGCTGCATAAAAGATCACACTCTTTCCATCTTGTGATCTGTCTTTTCTCTCTATCCCCTCTTTGTAAAATCCAGTAGCAGTTACAAACCTGTTCTGGTTATAAAGGATTGTTCTTGTGCAATCAACAGTGCGTGATTGTAGTCTGGGATTAGGCTGCATCCCAGGAGACGTGGATTTGGATCTCTGCTCGCTCTTACTCTTACAGCCCAGCATGAGGATGACAGCAAATGTAGGTTTTTCTGCCTCCTGGGAGAGAGCTCTAACAGCTGTCTGTCAGAGTGGGTAGTGTCTTCCTCTCTCCTATCCCCCTTAAAGTGCCACAGAATAATTATCTGAGTGCCTTTGAGAGCCAGGGTTTGCATTTCTCTGGAGCCCAGCTGACAACACCACTACAGCCAGGCACAGAGGACTGAGCAGCAGTGGTCTGAGTCCTGGGGCTGTTGTGTCTGAAGCCAGGGAGGAGACTTCAGAGGCAGGCAGCAGCATTGACTTTTTTTTTTTTTTTTTTTTTTTTCCTCTATTCCTATAAAAGTGAATGGGAGTTTACAGCAGGGTTCCAGGTGAGGGAGAGGTCAGGAAGGAGAGCTGCTAAGGTGTGCATGTTAGTGTCCCACACGTCAAACACATTTGGCTATTAGGGGCTGTACAGCTCCTAATACAGTCTCCAAATTGCTCCAGTTGCGATTACTAAGTTATGCTTTCCTTTCCCTCACAGGAGCTGTTGCAGTGTTTGTTGTGGGTCACGTAAAAACATCCTGGGCGATGTGGGGTGAAGTGGCACTTGCTCTGTTCTCCTTTCTTATTGCTGCTGCTGTGTATATCATGGACACAGTTCGTAACATCTGGGTGTGCTATGCATCCTATGTTGTCTTCAGAATCATCTACATGCTGCTAATCACGATAGCAACGTGAGTATCTTTTTTTAAAGTACATTGCTCTCAAGGTTACAGCTGGTGTGAAAGCTGGTATATTTGCTGTGTAATGATATTCTCCCCTGCGAGGAATTTGGAAATCTGTTGCAAGGGTTTGTGTTGTGGTTCAGGTTGGACACTGTGGCACAGAGATATATTTCACTGATAGTCTGCCTGAGCGTAAAAGTCTTATAACACTGAAGTGACTACTTCTAAATATTAGATAGTGCTGCTTGTCAGGGGAATGTTTTTCATAAACATGGCTGGGGCAAAGTGTTAACTGCTGAGGAGAGGACAATGCTTTGTCTGTGTTGAAGTGTCAACTTTCCCTAACCCGTAAGGAGGGAAAACTTATTTGTCACTTTTGGGAGGAAAACACAGCTGTTGTTGAACTGCACATGCATAATCTCTACAAGACAGCTCAAGCACAATGTGAAGGGTGATACTGAAACTGGTAACGTTCTAACCAGGGCAACAGAGCTGGTGCAGGGTCTGGAGCACAGGTCTGATGGGGAGCGGCTGAGGGAACTGGGGCGGTTTAGTCTGGAGAAGAGGAGGCTGAGGGGAGACCTCCTGGCCCTCTACAGCTCCCTGAAAGGAGGGTGCAGAGAGGGGGGGATGAGTCTCTTGAGCCAAGGAACCAGCGCCAGGCCAAGAGGGAATGGCCTCAATCTGCACCAGGGCAGGGTCAGACTGGCTCTTCGGAAGTATTTCTTTGCAGAAGGGGTTGTTGGGTGTTGGAATGGGCTGCCCAGGGCAGGGGGGGAGTCCCCATCCCTGGAGGGGTTGAAGAGTCGGGTTGACCCAGCGCTGAGGGATCTGGTGGAGTTGGGAATGGTCAGGGTGAGGTTCATGGTTGGGCTGGAGGAGCTTCAAGGGCTTTTCCAACTGAGGTGATACTGTGATTTTTGTGAAGGATGCAGGAGGTTATAGACCACAGTGCAGTAGGCTTATCCTTTGAGATTGCCAACAGCTCTCTGGGATCAGAGTGCATTGGATATTCTCTGTGTGACAAGACCCTTTAGCTGCATTGGACAGGAGGCCTACTTCAATGAGGCTGAAACCCACAGAGCTCCCAAAGTGTTTTTTTCATTTGGTTTGGTTTTTTAAGCTTTTTACATGTGTCCGTGGGTCTTTTAGCCTCAATGCTGGTCTGTCTCATGATCCTGTTTAGAAAAGTACACTATTAGAGCAAGGTATCTTAGCTGTTGAAAATACCAGACCAGTCTATGTAACTCTTCAAGTTGCATAGTCGTCTTGTGCACAGATGTTCCTCCTATTTTTGCATTTCCCTGCTTTTTCCCTGTCCTTACATTTCTGGTCATTCCTTTCTTTCCAGGTTCCAGATCGCTACAAATCTCAGTGTGGAGCGGTACGCCCTGGTATTTGGGGTCAATACTTTCATTGCCTTAGCACTTCAGACTCTGCTCACTTTGATTGTTGTGGATGCCAGTGGGCTGGGTTTGGACATCTTCACCCAGGTATGATGGGCTCTCTTAGCTGTACTGATGGGAGGAAGGAAGGTAAACCAAGCTGTAAAGCTTCTCACCTGCTTCTGGGTCAGGGGTTTTGACAGACATAATTGCTGATTGCTGATATTTTAGAAGAGGAAGGAAGCTTGTGTATTAACCTTCTTACAAATTTGGTAACTGCTTGGTTTAACCACTTCTTTTTTACTTTCTCTCCCCTTCTCTGCAGTTCATGATTTATGCCTCTTACTTTGTGGCCATCTCGCTGGTGTTCTTGGGCAGTGGCATATACAGTATTGTGAAAGCTTACAGAAGACAAGAGCAGATGCAAAGCAGATCTCCTGAAAGCCAGTAGTGCACCAAGTAAAGACTTTTGGCGGCTACCTATGAAGATATAGGTCTGGTTTTTTAATCTCTGCCTTTTCTTCCCAAGGCAGTCACCTTAATGGTCTTTAATCCATATTTATACTATATTAGTAGCACATTTTAGAAGGTAAATGTATTAGCTCTTACGTAAGTAAGAACAAATATCTTCTTTCTAAAATGCCTTTTGTTCTTCTGTTGCATATATGGGATGTGCAGCAAAGAACAGCAAGTTTTCTCAAAGTATGAAAGCCTTGGGAGGCTTTAGTCTAGGCTGTGTGTATCTGGAGGCTGCCATGGAGAAGGCAGCTTCATGATTGTCTGGTCAACTGCTGCTTTTCTGTCACTGCGGTGCTGCTGCAGGGCAGAAGTGAGGGCACACGAACAGACCTCTCTGTGGGGAGCCCCAGGCCTGGGACAGGAGGTGGCCTTAGGCCTGTGCTCCACAGTGTGGCTCTCGTTGTGGCTGCCCCATGGTGCTGGATGCTCCGTTTTGAGTACATTTAACGTTCCTGCACATGCACGTGCTTCCTTGAGTTGCTTGTGCTGTTTCTGCTGCTCTTGGCTGTCACCCCTGCTGCCAGAGTTTTTACCATAGCTGATCATGGTGCTTCCCCAACAACTGAACTCTGTCCTGGGGCAACTTGTGACACCGGTGAATTGGCTATCGATCAGCAGCACTACTTGTGCCGTGAAGGCCAGTGCCCAAGGGGCTGTAAAGCTGAAGAGGAAGGTTGGAGTTTAAGTAGAGAAAATACTAATCCAAGGGACCCTTGGACATCTTTGCCTTTGTCTTTTAGGACTGCAGATTCCTATGATCACAGGAGTCACTGCCTCACAACCCTGGGAGCTGGGCTGTTTTGGTGGGATTGTGGATTTTAGTATAGCACTGAGAAGGAAGGTGTCTTGCAGATTTTTAAGCTATTCTTTGTGACCTTGAAGAATCATGACTCTGGTGACTAATTAAGACACCTTCAGTTACGATAATTGGCAGGATGACTACCCGAGGCTTTGAAAAATGCTGATTTCTGGTCTGTCAGATTTTCCTCTTGTTTTAAAATGCCTTTATGCTTTTGGTGGGTCTCTGGCCACTAGTTCTACCTCTTCTTTGCACCTAAGCAGGACAATGAATGTTTGGAGTGGGCAGTTCTTTGATTGTCTAAGCAATTTGGGACTTGCCTCACACTTTTTTTTTTTTTTTTTTAAGAATAATTTATTTTTTCCAAATTTTTTCAGCACGGGGAGGGAATTGCACAGAGTTGTCCTGGACTTAGGCACCCAGATACCCAAGCACCATGACCAGCACAGCAACAGGTATCAGCAGTATGCTGTGGAAATAAGCTGTGGACTCTCCCTGTTGCTGTGCAGGTTGTGAGTTTGTGTTACAGGAGATGATGTAATGCAGTGTGCTTCCCTCTGTGCCTTCTTTCTGTGTGCTGAACTTCTTCCAGCCAGAGCTTGAGGCAGCAGCTTTGGTTCATTGCTTGCTTTTAGGGCAGCAGCTTTGGTTCATTGCTTGCTTTTAGGGCCATGGAGACTTCACAGCATCGTGTCTGGGAAGGTGTTTCTCCCCTGGCTGGGACAGGTACAGCCTTTCTAATTGCTTCTGTGAGCCTCACCTCGCACAAGGTGAATGATTAATGTGTTTGGGATGTGCTGTCTGGGGTCTGGGGAGCCCTTCTGGACTGGCTGCTCAGGGGAACCCACTCCCCAGAGCTTCTCTGTGTTTGCAGCCTGTCTCTTAAAACACCCCCGCTGAAGAGGGGCACAGCTGTACTGGCATTTACACATCTAAACTGAACTGCCATATCCTGAAATGAAAACTTGAAACCACCCATGTATGTATGCCTTTATCTACTGTTGGTTTTTTGAGAAAAATAAAATCTGAAGCCATGAAATGCTAGCTGATGAGCTGTCCCTGGGAAGGGATGGTAAGTTCATATCCTGCCTATCCTGTCCTTTGAGTTTCTTGGTCTGATGACAGTTGCAGCGAGGCATGAGGAGTGGGTGTACAGCACTCATGTCAGGTGACCGAAGGAAGCAGTTTAATTTTAATCTCATTTTTCATCCAGAGAATAAATCTTTGATGGGGAACAACCCAGTTATTTAAAAGCAAGTCAAAAATTAACTAACGAATTACAGCAATAACAATGATTTTTCTGCCAAAGTAATGAAACTGGCAACTGCAATAGGCAAGAGGCATGCCACACTGTATATGTCTTCAGGGCTATTCATGTTTCGAAGCCACACCTGGAAACTGTTCAGGCTCCTGTACTGTGCTGTTGCTGTGGTGATGAGGTGACTACAGAGCCTGACTGGAGCTGTACACAGTTAGTGATGCCTATGAAATTCTGTAAACGTGTTGACATTGTTGGTTTCTAATTGAATAGCTATTTTTGTTAAATAAAAAGTACTCTTGAGATATCCTGTGTGGCCAGTGTTTGTCTTCTATTCTGATACCTTGCTTATCCACAGCACTGCTGCTGCAGGTTGTTCACAGCATCCTTGAGACAAAGAGGGGAAAAAAACAAACAAACCAGGACAAAATGTGTGGGGAAAAAAATAAAAAAAGCAAGAAGCTGATAGTTGTTGGCTGGTTTGTGTAGGTTTGCAGAATCCTGTGCAGGTGTCTTGCATTGAGGATCCTTAGTTGCTGAGCAGTTCAGAAATACCACTCTGGAATTCAGTGCAGACTGGCCCAGTGAGGGAGAAGCTCACTCACTGGTTGATGTGTCAGTCTCACTGAAGGTGACTGTAAGGGAAAGCAGGTGGAAGTTTGCCATGCAGGAGGACCTTTCTATTTACATTGACCTAATTACAAAATTGAGGCCTTAGGGAAGAAATGCTGTAAACTCCCAGCCCTGGCACACCTGCACTTGACTGCCTTGGAAAGCTCTCCCTGTCTTGTGCTCCTAGAAGAGGTGGCTTATACCTGGTAGTACAGGCTGGGCTGGAGGTCAGAGCGATCTCTATCTGTTGCCAGTTTGATGGAGTTCAGTGTGGTGGTGGCCCAGCAGGCCCTCTGCATAACACCAAAAGCAAGAGAAAAGGGGTGGTCTGGGGAGGAAGAGGGGGCCTTTCTTACACGTGTTTCCTTGAGAGCCTTATTGCTGAGGCAGGAGGGATAGGGCTGTCAGCATGTCAGGCTTGCTCTGAATTTCATTCATCTGTCTTCCCTGGGTGAATGCAGGAGTCAGCTGTGCAGGGATGAGCTGCTTGGCAGTGTTGAGGATTAAAATCTTTGCTTGCATATGACAGGAAGGTAAGCAGTAGCTCATATAGGTATAGCATTATCCTTTAAGGTGGCTTCAGTTGTTTCAGACTTGGTGCTGGTGAAGAGTGGTGTGACAAGAACCCTGAGGCTGCTTTCGCTCATGATCCACGTGAACTGTGGCAATCCTCCTTGCTCCTCCCATCGCATCCTGCAACACCACATACCGCTAAGAGATCTGAAAAGGGACACCCAGCTGCTGGCACGGAGCTGAATTCCTGAGTCTGCAACACAGCACACAGCGCGGTTTGATGGAGAGGAGATAAATACTACACACGGCTGGAGTGTCTGCCTGGGATGCTATGGCTGTTCCTTTGTTCCAGTCGATGCTGTGGGCTGCTGCAGGTGAGTGTTACCACCGAATCTGCGTGTCCTGTGCTGGGCTTGCTGTGATGCTGGTGAGATGTGGTATAGTTCTGGGCTTTAGGATCACTGTTGCAGGGAGATTGCAGGTGCTGGGCTTGTTCTGTCCAAAAAGTGAGGTGAGGAAAAGTAAGAGGTGCCAGCGGCTGCTGTTGCAGGAGCAGCACCCACTGCTGTCCCTCGGGGCTGGCACTGGCTGTGACAAGCCACCAAGGCATGTTAGGGTTACACTTGGCCGTGCTGTGGCTGTGTGCTGCTCTGGCAATGCTCTCAAAGAAAGGGAAGGGCTCTGCGTGGAAGTGATTACGTTTTCTTCTTTATGGGTGTGCTTGTAGCCAAGTACTGGGAAGGAGAGACTTTGGTTATGGAAGGGGCGGGAGACTGGGACCTTTGGCCCCAGTTCCTTGTGACTCTTGACAGCGTCAGCTGCTTCCTGCACAACAGACAAAAGGTGTCAAGGTGCTTGTTTAACACTGCCTTGGAGGTGCCGCAGCCTTTCTCTGCCAAACATACTCTGCATGGATCGGTGTTCCCCAAACACAGAGCAACCAGCATGTCTTTGGAGCCCTGTGGTGCTTGGCTGTTGTTTCTGTTGCTTTTTTTCATGACCGTGCTCTGTAGCTCCCTCACAGATGGGAACATTTCAAAACCTAAATTTAATGATGTGCGGGTTAATGAATGCATGCATGAATTTAGGTTGCCCTTAAGATACCATTAAATTATCATTATCAAGCATCACAGCTTGATTTTCCAACAATAGGGTCCAATCCTTGTCTTACAATCACACTGATTTGTAATTAGTCAAATAAAGCATTTCGTGTGAATGGAAGGGGTAGCACTGGCTTGTAAGATGAAGGATAGTCTTGTGATAAAAGCAGTGCAAAAAGCTTTGAGATTGTGCCCAGATATCTTTATTTTAATCTGCTGTGAACTTGTCAAAGCCACCTGTCTATGAAATGTGGAAAATCAGAAGCTTGTCATTATGCCTTCAAGAAGGGGATGACTGCATGACCCTGGGTGAGGTCAGTGGTTGAAGTTTGTCCAGGTACAGCAGGAACCATTGCCAAGCAGGTGCCTGGGTGTTATCTCAGGTAAACATCAGGGAGCTCTTCCAACCCACCAAAACCAATGTCAAAACCCATTTCTCTTTGTCACTGTATGATGTAGGATTAGCAGCAACCCCGAGGTGCTGGAGTCCAACCTCGTCCTGTGGCATGTGGGCCATGATGACAGATGTCTTCAGAGACCTCCTGAACCCCACTGTGAAGGGATTTAGTTTTTCCACCCTGCGTGACTTTGAGAGAAAGGGTGACTCTACCTGCATTACTCTGGGAGTTATCAATGCCCTGGCTAAATTTATTCATGGCTATATTTTTGCCCATATTTTCTTCCATTAGCATTAACCCTTTAGTGCGGGGAGTGTGTTTTCCTCAACGAGCGAGTGTATCTGCTTCCCCACCTAGCAGGGTCAAGCCAGTGGCTCTCTGTGGTAACCGGTGGCAGCACCAACCACTGCCGTTTATCAGGAGCCTCTCAGAAGTTACTGAGGTGTTTTGCCAGCTGTTGCAACACCACTTCTGTGAGGCCACCCAGCACAGCCCTGCCCTCTGCAAGGCCCTGACAGGCTGCAGCCATGGTGCCACCACAGCCAGCGTTTCACAGAAGGGCTTCTGCCCCACTGTGAGACCTCTGGGCACTCCGTGGTGGCTCTGGTGGTCACAGGGCTTGATGTGGGGCTAATCACAGGGGCACATCATCCCGACCTGTGGGGCTGTTTGTTCCTTCATAGAGGAGGCTGCGATGTGCCACCTCCCCACCCTGAGCTCTGCTGAGGAGTCTGACCCCTCCCTCAGCTCCCCCTGCCCAGGAGGTAACTCAGGGTGGTGGGTTTTTAATGGCTTTTTTTTCCAGAAGGGAATCAATTTAGGGTGTTTTTCTGTTCTCTTTTTTTTTTTTTTTTCTCTCTTTTTCACATTTCAAAGTTTTAGGAGCAATGTGTGACTAATGCAGCCAAGGTGCCTCTTTGGAGACGCGGCACTATCTTTATTAACAAAAGCCCCGATTTTGAAGCACTGCTAGCTTTGCTCTGATCAAATTGCTCATCACCAGCCAGAGCATGAATAATACAACACAAAAACTGCCGATGCTCAGGCAGCTCCCAAACAAGCAACAGCATCTGAGGGTTTTAGCTGGGAAGGGAGAGTGCTGCTGCCCCTCTCCTGGGCGTTCACGGCTGTTAATGTGTTAATTTCCAGCTGTTAAATGAAATTGTGTAACATGGTGGGATCGAGTGCACCCTCAGTCAGTTTGCAGATGACACCCAGTTGGGTGGGAGTGTTGATCTGCTCGAGGGCAGGGAGGCTCTGCAGAGAGACCTGGACAGGCTGGAGCCATGGGCTGAGCCCAACTGGAGGAGTTTCACTAAGGCCAAATGCCGGGGGCTGCCCTTGGGCCACAACAACCCCCAGCAGCGCTACAGGCTTGGGGAGGAGTGGCTGGAGAGCTGCCAGTCAGAGAGGGACCTGGGGGGGATTGATAATGAGCCAGCAGTGTGCCCAGGGGGCCAAGAAGGCCAATGGCATCCTGGCTTGTGTCAGCAATAGCGTGGCCAGCAGGGACAGGGAAGGGATCTGACCCCTGTCCTCAGCACTGGTGAGGCCGCCCCTCGAT